TTTTGGAATATAGGAAAAGGGTTGAACTCTGGAAAACACTTGAGTTCGAATGAGCGATCAATGTCAGTGCTTCCAAGCATTTCAGTTTTCAGAAAATAATCACTTAAGTTTTATTAAGAAATTCTTAAATACATTTTGTTACGATGGAAAAAATTATATAAATTGTATATAATATTATGAAACAAATAGAAAATAAAATTTTGGCAACGCCGTTTGGAATTCTTGAGTGATGGTAATGGAACAATTTTTGCAGAACACTTCCACGAAAAAATTGAACTAATTGCTAGAGCAATAAGAATAATTCCACCAATTCATAGCATTTGCTGGCTCGATCATTTCAAAGTCAAGTGGCCCGCCTAAAATGCCAAAATTCCAAACTATTCAATGATCCCATTAAGCCATTTGAGTTCCCGCATGAAGAACTCATTGGTGGGGGGCCAAAGGGAAAGCATAATATGTTTCCCATGTGCTCCAGTGACCGCTAATCTAATCTAGGCTTATCTATTTGTACAGCAGCGGCGTGGTGGAATGTTCCTGAGTTCGCTACACATGAAAATAGGTTTCTAAGCAATCGCCTAGATGGCTAAGAAAAATAAGGGGGGCAGGGGCGGGGGAAAGAACAGGTAAGTGGGCGGTTGAAGCTCATGCAATTAGCAGGAATTGCAAATTAATAATCATGTCTCGTGTGGATAACAAGGACAAAAGCTAACACACGACACCCACTTAATACAAGGTGGATATACTGTGTTTTAGTGGGTGGTTTAGGGTGGCTCATGGTGGCTGCAAGGGGGCGGAATGAGTGGGTGGTCCAAAAGCCATAACAATTTGCAAGCGTATGAAAAATGTATGCGGAGCAAACTTTAAATTCATTACACACACGCAAAGTCAGCAGCAGTTGAATGGAGGTAGATGCACACACACAAAAAACGTATCACCAAAGTTTTTCTTTGGGTTTTTTCCAAAATTAACAAAATCGTATATTTAAAATATAAAAGATATATATTATAACAAATAAGACATCTACGATATAACAATGAAGAATGGTTAATTTAACTATTATTTCTCGCAAATTGAAAACAAACAATTCAGTCCTTTTGGAAATTAGATTATTTTTCTTTTTTATTTAACTTTCAATGCACCTATTGTATTTATACATATTTCAATTTTATTTTATAATAGAGTATTTTTTATGGTATTCTTTTCATGAGTTATTTAAAAAAGTGTATCTATCCAAAACAATATAAATAATAAGAGCTAAAAAATAAATTATAAAAAGGAATCAAATAATAGTTCTCAGACAAAAAAGGAGCTGTTTTTGTAAATTATACTGAATTTCGAATAAGAAAAAGGAAAGTATTTGTTGCTGTGCAAAGGAGTGGGACAAAAGATGAGTAAATGGGGCGGGAGAAAGGTGACAACTTTTAGTATATGAAACATGGACACGGGCAGGCCAAGCAGTTTGTTTAAACTGCGGTCGCTTGGCAGGATGTGGAAACACCACACCCACACATATGCATAAGCATTTTTACTTGCGTGTGTGTTAGCAGTTTCAATAAGTTCACACACACAGTTACCCCCTAAAAAGAGGGGTGGTGGGTGGCCCTGCCTCAATCTCTTTGCTGGTAATTTGAAAAAATTTTCGTGCCTCGCTTCTATTTACGCTTTTATCTCTGTGGCACATTTACTAAAACCCCTCTTTTTTTGTACAATTTGTATTTCTTCATTTCTATTTGCTAGCTTTATCCGCTTTTTCTTCATTATGTGAGAGTGTCTGTATTTCTTTTTGTGTAAGTGCACCGGGGGAAAAAAACACGTTTCAAGAAAGCAAATGCTATTATATCTGAATAACCCAAAAGATTCCAAAGAAAAAAATACAATTAATTGTCATTTTACAAGATCTATTGGCAAAATACTTTTTTTTAGTTGTTTGTACTATTTAAATGGGATTATATGTTAAAGATACTTTTATTCGTATAAATATATGCACTGATAAATGGTACTTCAACGATCCGTTTATCGAGACATCAAAATAAAATCTAAGCCAAATTTAAATCCGTATACATATAATATGTAAATATTTATGTCCACATAAATATATTTTTATGCAAAAATTAATATCTTATATTCCTATTTCTCTATGTGTGTTTGTGTTAGCCTTGGGCAGGGCATTAAAACCGTGCCAAGTGTCGAAGCCAGGCCCCCGAGTTGGCCAAAAGCTGAGGAGCCGGACAACTGGACATTTATTGAAGGATCCACCTCCCCCAAGGCCCCCTTCATCGCCCGCCCCTTTTGGCCACCTGAATCGCTGGCTGACTCATTTAAAATTCGACAGGGTGTGTTCATGTGTGAGTGGGCTCGAAATCCAAGCTACTGCCCCATCTTTGTCTCTTCATTCTTTCTTTCGGTCTAAATGCTCCAGCTTCCTTTTCTTTCTTAGCCGTTTCCCTCCGTTTCCGCCGACTTCCCCTTACTCATATCTTTTTCTACCTTGGCTTTTTCGTGTTTATCTCACTGAACTGTTGCATTTTTTATGCCATTTTATTCCATTTTTATTTTTATGCTCTGCCAAATGTTTTTTCTGTCCTTTTTTTGGTCTTTCCACTTTTTTGTTATTCTTTTTATATTTGCCCGTCCCGTATTCTCACATCCCCAGCACACAATCACACTGAAATGTATCATTTTGTCTCATCGGTGTTCTAAGAAGCTTTGATAGTTTTAAGGAAATTAGTACTGTAGAAAATAAAGTTAATATTTTTTAATGAAAATTTGACTTTTGCCGATTAGCTATGATTTATAAGTCTTTATTAAAAGCACCTTTGCAGAAATTGTGCTACTAAAAAAACTTGAATTGAATAAAGTTATTTAAGCTCATATAATATGAAAATAAAAATGTATTTTTATTACTGATAAACAGGCTTTATTGTTTGTTTAGCTATTTTCATTACATGTAATGGCTATTGAATAATTATGGCTAACTATCATAAAGCATGGATTATACTAATCCCTCTACCATTTTCATCAAAAAGCTGAGAGTCATATTTGGTAGTGTGCCCATTTAATAAACGCCAATTAAATAAATTTTTTTTTTTTTTTTTCTTATCTGTTACAATTTATTATCTCTCCAGGGTAATACTTTTGCGACTAATCCCATTTGCCAACTCCAATGTCCTCTACCTTAGCATCGCCTTTTGTGCTGGCTAATGTCTATTTTCTTGTGTTTCGGTTTCTTTTTCAGCATTTCGGCATTTTATGATATCCCAGCGCGCATTCTGTCGGTTGTGAGTGCAGGGCTTTGGTTTCCTTTTACTGCGGGATATTTTTCTTGTTCCCGCCTTACTTTTCATTTTTTGCCGAAGAAAGCAATGTATTTTTAGTGGGTTCTGCTAAATGTCTAAAAATATGCGCCATGTCGAGCACCTGAGTGGCATAGAGCGGGAGCAAACGTGAGGGGAGCGACTCGCTTTTTTATTTATGACCCTCGAAAAGCGATTCGTGCATTTGGCTTAAATCTCCCAGGAGCAGGCTGTTCCGCTGAAGGTCATCGTTGGACACGTACCCCTGCTCCCAAAAAAAAAAAAAATAACCAAATCGATTTTAACGATTATTATTTCTTGGCTTGTGGAAGTTGTCGCCTTAGTCACACTCACTCACTCGACTCGACGTCTTATGAATATGAAATGCATTCGCACAACTGGGAAAAAAATGAAAAATAAAATTGCAAAAATATACTTGTGATTGACAAAAGTGTGGCAAGGACATTTAGCGAGCAAGCAGCTCTGACGACATTGCCACATTAACGTTAATTGATGACCAAGGCTGAGCACCTCCCCTTATCCAGTGCCCATTGCCCAGTGGCAATTGCCATCGCCTTGTGACAGCTCATTAATAAGCGGATTTGGCCCTTTGCAGAGCATGTCCTTTTGGCCTTCGCTTTGTGTTGACGAGCTAATCTACTGCATAAATCTACAGTTTTGTTAACAATTCCAACAAGAGCTCAGATACCAAAAGAGGCAATAAAGAGGGCACAAAAGAAGCGGATAAGGGCAACCAAATGCACGACGAAAAATATCAACAAAATTTGGTAATCAAATAAGCTACTATCTCCGGCTTATCATTGTGACATTTCATAATGCCGGTAAAGATATTTTTAGCAAATCCAATTTAAGCCGTTGCCTAACACAATAAATAAAAATCCACTTCTTATTTCATTTTTAAACGTAAAATATTATCTTATCAATCAACTTCTTTTTAAATCATACAAAATTTACTTATCCGCCAGACATTTTGAAATACTGTCATTTATATTAATTTTTATTTTTTTATAGTAACACATGACATCAGCACGACAACATTAATTACAATTATATTTTATATTACCAAAAAGCCTATGAAGCAAATTAAATTGTACAAAGGAATTCTTAGAAGCAAGTAAGAATTTTAGCAAGAAAGAATAAAAGTAATATTGAACTTTTCAACAGTCTTAGCTGGAAATAAATTTAAAACACTACCTTTTAAGAAAAGTCATTTTAATTATCTGCCTCATTTAATAATAGCTTTTCGCTAGTAAAAACATTACTGATTAATTTTATTAGCTTTTTTGATTGATGAATTTGGTTCGCACTGATAAGCCTCAAATTATTTTAACAGCAAAAACTGATATGAAAAATTGGACATACATAGTCACACCACTGATATGTTTTTTTTTTCGTGTAGCAACCAAGGGGTCAGAGGTGAGCCGAGGGTCGTGGGAGTGGCAACATCATTGGGGCAGGTCTCGGCACTTAATTAGAATTGCGCCCGAATAGAATAGAACAGAACGCGCGAGTGGGATAATTTATGCAGCCAAAGGAAATGGACAAGCACAAAAATATATATTCCCATCGGGTTATGCAAATATCTCAAGAATATCCAGAAATCGAATCGAAAATCGTTGGAGTTAATTGTACCACTTCTTGTTTGATTTTCACTTAGCCAGACTTTTTCACCGGCGAACCACTTACCTTTCTTAGATGTTCGCAAACAATTTGAAATGCAAATAGGCAGAACTCCCTGCTTTCCAAGCTCACTTCACGATGGCCCGTTGCCAAAAATATATATATATATAAACTCGTATATAGATTTCTTTTGGTTTCCGCAAGTGACAGACTGTCCGATTTCGCGAACACACAGCAAATATTGAAACTTGATCTGGATTTTGGGCCCAAAATCAAGCCAATTAGCGCGAATTTGGCGGGGAATATAACACACGGAGTCGGTTTCGGTTTCGCTTTAGGAATCGGAATAGGAATCGCAGTCGACGAAGGTGTCAGGCTAATCTAACCGGCACGACCGAAATTTCACCTGCAGCAACACCTGCCAAGAAGCACTTGCAGCTAATTGTAAGTAGCACTGGCGAGCATCGGCGAATATCAAACAATCGCACTTGTTGTTGCCCAAAGTCGTTCGGAGTTTGAGTCTCAGTTGGTGTTTTGGCTCGTTATTAGCCAACTACTCTAACGGCCAAGAGATTCGAATGCCGGCAGTTTAGAGCGCTTTCGTTGGGAAACGCGTGTGTTCGCCACGAACGGAAAATTGCGACTGGCAATCGCGAAAGCGAACGCAAAGCTCGCTGCTGCCGGCTTGTTAGCAACTCCCAAAGTTGCCGTTGCCGATTTTAACGCTCACTGCTGTGACGTCTCGGCGTGATGCTGTTGTTGCCAAGAGAGAGCAACGTACACAAAGAAAAATGTCATTGCTTTATAATAATCTGAAAATATAAATACTTATAATCATAGGAAGATGACAGAAATAAATACTTCAGAGCTAAGAACTTGTTTAGTTGTAAGCCCGATTTAAAAAAAATTAACACTTTATGTTTTTTTTATACTCAAAATATATTTGATATATAAAATATATTAATCGAACTTCAATAGCTCAATCTTTGCCAAACGTAAATCTTATTAATGCTCAAGCTTTATTAAGAAAATTATACTGAAATTTAGGAATAATAAAAATTAAAGGCCTGAAGTCTTCTTAGCTCAAATATTTTTCTTGGCGAATAGTTTGAGCTATGAAAGTTGGACGGTTTTTTTAAAGTTCCAATAATCAATAAGACCCTTTTAAATTACTTCTTAAAGAAATGAATAACAAGAAAGGAAAGCTAACTTCGGGCGGAGCCGAAGTTGATATACCCTTGCAGAATTCTCTGTAAATTATATTCTCCAAAATTATTCATATGATGCATTCTTAATACTCATAAAAAATCCCAACTTCCTAACTTTAAAAACACCAAAGTTATGACATTTCCAATCGTTCAGTTATATGGCAGCTATAGGATATAGTCGGCCGATCCTTATGAAATTTGGTAGGTCGGATTGGCTGGCCAAATATAACACCCATAGAAAATGCCAACTTCCTAACTTTACAAACACCAAAGTTATGGCATTTCCGATCAATCAGTTATATGGCAGCTATAGGATATAGTCGGCCGATCCTTATGAAATTCGGCATGTCGGATTGATTAGCCAAATATAAAACCCATAGAAAATCCCAACATTCTAACTTTACAAACACCAAAGTTATGGCATTTCCGATCAATCAGTTATATGGAAGCTATAGGATATAGTCGGCCGATCCTTATGAAATTCGGCATGTCGGATTGATTAGCCAAATACAAAACCCATAGAAAATCCCAACTTCCTAACTTTACAAACACCAAAGTTATGGCATTTCCGATCGTTCAGTTATATGGCAGCTATAGGATATAGTCGGCCGATCCCGGCCGTTCCGACTTATATACTGCGTGCAAAGGAAAGAAGGGTGTGTGCAAAGTTTCAATTCGATATCTTTAAAACTGAGAGACTAGTTCGCGTAGAAACAGACAGACGGACAGACAGACGGACAGACAGACGGACAGACGGACAGACGGACAGACGGACAGACGGACATGGCTATATCAACTCAGGAGGTGATCCTGATCAAGAATATATATACTTTATAGGGTCGGAGATGTCTCCTTCACTGCGTTGCACACTTTTGACCAAAATTATAATACCCTCTGCAAGGGTATAAAAAGGAATTGTATATAACTTTGGTATTCCATTAGGAACGTGTACCCTTATTATTATTTTGTGTAATTTTCTTATAGTTTCTGTTTTAAAATTTTTGTTTACCCCAACAGTATTAAATTTAATATTTAGTTAATTTTATAAATAACTTTGATTGTGAATTGAAGCAGCTTAAAGTTATAAAAATTCTGTGTAATAGTAGTCTTATAAGTGCTTGAAGGCATCATTATTATTCAAGCAACTGCTTTTTTTTTTAAGTGAAAGGAGCATCAAAAATATTGCCGCCCCAAAAAAATGTAAAGAGTAAGACTTTTGCTCTTTTGCGAAAATGCCGGCTTCACTTGGCAACATGTTTTGTATATTTCTCCCTCTCGGCAACATGTTGCCGATCGAAGTTTGGCGCGCTTTTATTTATTTGAAGCCTGCTCCGCTAATTTGAGTTGTTTTGCTGACGCCTGGCCCCTTTTAATTGCTGATGCCTGATTTATAATTTATACAGTTGATTTTGTTTTAGTTTCGCTTTAGATTTTCATTTTGTTTGGCTGCCGCTCGCCTTGCTTATTTATAAAGACATTTAAATTTATGGGCGCCGACTTTTTGCATGAGATCAGAGCGCTTGGCCCAGTTAATTTATGGGCGCAACGGGTGCGTCTTGTCTCGTCGGAAAAAACTAAAAATGTATGTTTCAAATAACAGGGCAATAAACCGAATACCATTTGTTGCCTAACACGGAAAGTGTTGCCGGCGGATTTGTGTTTACTTTCTGCGGCTTAGTCAACCTGAAATGGTTCGAAATAGGAAAAAAGAATACTAAAATTCCTGACCACATTCAATGCAAACAAATGACGCCATCTGTCTGCCGTAGCCGCCCATATTTATAAACAATTACGGAGATCAGTGGCAGCGTTAATGAATCATACAAAGGTCTTGTGAAATTTGCATACTGTTTCAGAATTTTCCGTGAATAACTTCGAATATAGTAATCCCATTCATTAGTGCTGTAAATATGTCAAAGTTTCCAGAACTTTTCATAGGTCTTAACAGTGTGAAACTAAAAAGCTCCCAAGCTTCGGCAACTTGTTGCTTGTGTGTTTTATTAAGTGCTCAATAACAACAGCAACCACATTGACAACAGCAACATCAACCACTACAGCAGCAACATTATTACTACTCGTCGTTCAACATTAGAGTTGCAAAAAAAGAAGGCAAAATCATCATAACAATACCAACTCGTGTAACAAAATGCACCATAAGCTAAATCCAGCGCAGCTAAAACAACAACATGAAATTGCTACTTTGATAGCAACATCTAAACTAGTAGCAACATGAACAACTGCAACACGAATAGCAACCAAATACCCAGCAGCAACACCATTAGCTTTGAGAACACGAGCAACATTTACATCAGCAACAACAGCAACATCAACAAGTGCAACCTTAGCCGCAACAGCAACAACACTGTATTCAAGCAGCAACATTAACATTTTCATTGCTTGTGCGCGCCTGACCCATTTAAAATAACAAGAAATAAAGGCTAGTTATCAAGGGTGAATCTCAAATACCCTTGCTGATAATAAAATTATTATTTCCGTTTTAGTTAATTTGTTTTAAAACTTATTTTACAATCATTATTATTGGACCGTTCCAAGGCAGGCAAAAAGGAAATCAACTTTGTATACCTACCACAGTAAAGTGTTATTTTCAAATAAATCCAATATATAGGATCAAAATGTAAGGCTCATGGAATCAAAGCAAAGTAACTTAATCAAAGCAATCTATTCAAAACAATTCGAAATATATTTTCATTATTATATTTAAAATTTCATTCTTCAGATATTTAATAGCTTGGGGACGTGCTAATTTATATATTAGAAAAAAAAGTTCCAAAGTTCCTTTTAGTTTAGAAATCGGTATATGAAAAAGAGTAATGTTTTTAGAATCTCTTAGTTTAATGCTTACAAGCACATCTCGCCGATTGTTTATAAAGAATATATTTAAAGATTACACCTGCAAACTACTGAAACACCTACCTAACACCTTGATATTCTTTATAGTATGGTGGACTGTTATCTTATGCCAATAGCCATAAATAAAACTGTCCACTTGTTGTTTTTTAAGAATAATGTTTTTTCAACTCTTAGTTTCATGCTTACAAGCACATCTCGCCGATTGTATGTAAAGTATATATTTAAAGATTACACCTGCAAACTAAACTAAAATAAATAAAAGATCAACAAACATAAAACCATATTTAATTTGCAATTGCCTTATTGACTTTGCAGACACATTACTTATCTTTTCATTCCAAAGAACTTTTATAATTTTCATATTGGCCTTCAATCTTTTGCATTATATTTTAACAACCTCTGTCAGTGTATAAAGAAATAAAACCCCAAAGGATGGGCGTAGAGGGTGAACCAATCACCCAATAAAGTGGTCAAATTGACGGACCAGTTTATTATTAATCTGCTGCACTTTGTAAGCTGATAAACAAAACGGAATGTTTACAGAACGCGCAACAAATAAGGCGCACTCAAGAAAAAATATATTTGAAAAATCGAGCAAACAAATTGTAAACAAAAAAGTAATTTGAAAAATTATGGAACCCCCAAATGAAGAATAATGGATCATAATTTTGCGATGGGGAATAGTTTCCCGGCAGGAAAATGGGAATCGCGAATCGAAATAGATTAATTTATGGTACGTGAAAGAGTTACCATGCTTGGCCACACAGGATGATCCATACTGACTAAAAATAGGGATGACTGCCAATTCGAAATAGAATCGCCGGGCGTAGGTCGTTGGGCGGTGGATGTGGGTGGGGTCGATCTGGGTGTGGAAGTGGATGTGGATGTGGGTGGGTGGGTGAGCGTGCCGCCATCTGCTCTGGACATTGGCATTGAGTGGGTGGCGTGGCATGGCGCCGCCCTGCCAACATGTGCGGCAGCTGCCCCAAAAAATCCGTGCATAAACATCAGCATTTGTGTAATGTTACGAGCATACACCAAGAAAAAATGCATTAAACAATATTTTAATTATAGCTTTTCTAAGAATATTAATCAA